GTCGCAAAATGTTTTAGCGGGTTTCTCGGGCAGAATGAATCACATGACCAGAAATAGGATCAGTCGGCGAGAAGGGAGGACATGTTTCCTATTGCTGCTTTGTGTTCTCAATTTTTTTTTTTGCCGCAAATGTTCTTGATATTATTCCGTGACTCACTTGGTTCGACGGGGAATGAGATCAATGCTTTGACGCCTAAAGATTTCTCGTATAATTTTTTGATTCTTATACGAAACTTGTTTTATCAAGTTTAAGAAGATCTTTATGACTTCGGCAAATCATCGAGTTTCATTATGAAGTTTCGCAGAGATTTTCTAACCTCATGATTGCGACGAGAGATGCTATATATATAGTCCTCGAGATTATTTCTCAGACGGTTTGGATCAGTCTTTAGCGTTTAGACGGTTCTTAGATTGTCGTTTGCTTTTGGGATGATTTTGACGACGCGTCACATTGTCCGAATATTTTTCTGCTTGTTTTGGAGAGAGTTTGCTTTAGAGAAAGCGTTTTCTCGATGCGAGAGAAAATATTCGACGAAAAGAAAAAATATGAGTTTCCTTTGAAGGATTAGGATGATCGATAATCCGGGTTGGTTAAAGACCGTGGTGGATTGGCGATGACTTGGAGTATGTCTGATTTACAAAAATTTCTAGGAGCGAGTCAGTTTTAAGACGACGCCAGTGTCTCTAGCTCCTTCTTTCTTTTAGGAAATGAGTATGTTCGAATGTGTGGCGATTGTTTCTCGGTTGTACAAGAGATTGGATCGGTTTGCGAGTTATGCATGAATGGTTAGAGAACAACAAATCGAGATAGACAAAAATTGCTTATGACTTAGCATGCTAGACTATCCTCTAAATTCTAAGTTCTCTAGGTTTCACTGCAGTTTACAAGACGTTTTGGTTTCTTACCTACGAGAAATTAGAAGTCCAATAAAATTTTCAAATCGGACATACCTTAGTTTCATCGATGATTTGGAACCGCCTATTCTTCGTTCTTCGCCTTTTGACTTACTTTTGTATGAATCGGTCTTCAAAAAAATACCAACGAGAGTTTCGGAGTGAGGAAGGGATTTCATCATCCGAGTTTATGTTCTTTTTTCTTTGTACTGCTGGTTTTACTTAACCGACTAGGTGCGCTTTGTATATCGAAAAATCAATCATGTGTTTATGATTGGATGTTTTCAACTTTTCATGGCAGAGTTTGTAAAACCGGATCGCGTTTAGAGAGTTCAGATCTCTCGTATAGTTTAGGCAACTTTGGTGTTAAGTCGACCGTTGCTAATTTAGACGATCGCTTCGAACTTATACGAAAAAACAAGTCTTTGCAGTTTTTGTCGTAAAATCTTGATGGAAATTCCTACTGAGACGAAACGAGAACAACCGCGATCAAGACTCGAGAGAGAGACTCGATGATTGGTTCAGCTCGACGTAGGGCGAGCCGGATGAAACCTTACAGCTCGCCGTGTGGCGATCTGGATGGTAAGAACCCTTAGGGCAAAGTCAGCACCTCTTGGGAAAGGTGAAAGAGTCCTCCCAACTCGCCATACGGCGAGCTAACTTGGACGTTTCAGCTTGCCCTACGGCAAGCTGGGCGATACGAACCCTTGGGGAAAAGTCAGCGCCTCTTAGGTGAGGTGGAAGGGTCCTCTTAACTCACCATACGGCGAGCTGAGTTGCTTGGTTCAGCTCGTCGTACGGCGATCTGAGACGCTTGGTTCAGCTCGCCGTACTCTGAGCTGAGACGCTTGGTTCAGCTCGCCGTACGGCGAGCTGAGACGCTTGGTTCCGGCGAGCTGAGATGCTTGGTGCGGGTGATCTCGATTCGTCGAGTTGACTTGTTTTCGTCGTAGAATCTCAACGGAAAGTCCGATTGAGACAAAACGAAAAGCTGTACGATCGAGATTGGAATAGGATCAGGCTTAGGATCCCGAGAATTGTGTCCAACTCGCCATTGGGCGAGCTGGTCAAACCTTCACACATTGATATTTCTCTGATTTGGTTATGGGGTTTGATTGGTTTTATCGTTGCCCTTTTGTTTAGACGAAGAAATCGCGAGCTCGTTTCCGGCTCTTTCCGTGGTGAAGAGTCGCAATTAAGTTTTCAATTATATTAATTACTACAGCGTTTGCGTGAGCGTTGGCTATAGGAGCAGTCGCTGCTAGAGTTGTTTTACCAGCGTTTTTGCGAGTAGTGACTTTGTCTTTCATATATCCAGACATCGTTTTGATCAAGCGTTTTGCGGCTATGAGTAAGAGTAATCCGACCCTCCCTCCTTCTAGCGCCAAACTGTGGGAACCGAAATTCACCTACTGTTGATTTCCGTAAAATAAGGAAACTTAGGAAAACCCTAATTTTCCATAGGAACCGGATCTCTGCGAAAGCCAACGACAAGTAACCAGATATATGCGGAAAAATATGAAAAACGTAACAAAACGAACTTATAGAAAAGTAGATCTTATTTCGGTTTCGCGTAAGAGCGTTGCGATCATTACAAGGGTTTACAAAGGCTTTGGCCGTAGGGCCATCAGCGAATTATCAACATAAAAACCTTAAACCTAGTCGAGTCACAGCTCGATAACAAAAGACGGAAAAAGACAAGAAAAAGGGTTTGATTGATTTCGGACTGAACCTTATGAAAGGCTGCCTACGTACCCCTTTCAAGGATCAAGTCAAACGTAGTTCAGTTAATAGAGCTGGACCAGAGATCGAACTGCCTGGGCGAATTCGTCTAGTAATTGAACGCCAGTCATAGAAACCGAACTTGTCGAGAAAAAAGCCTAAGTTTCTAAGTGCGGAAAATTCTAAGTCTAGATAAGTTGTAAAAGTCTCAAATGAGAGCTCTGAAAATCGTCCTTTTCTTCTTCCTCATTCCTCTTGCTTATATACTCCCTTCCTTGGCGGTTTGGTCCTTCCATTTCGCCCAGATTCGAGTATATCGAGAATCTTTCATTTATCTTTGTTTCTTTTTTTCCCGCGGAAATCTTCTATTTATCCTCAAACTTGAGATTTATCTTCAAGTTTGACATTTATCTTCTTTCCGCGAGTAAATTGCCAAAACGTTGTTGTATCTTCGGGTTGGAATTCGTTTAAAGTCGCGAGTGGCTTTTATCGCGTCTTAGGCTTTCCGAGCCGTTTTGCGAAAAATCCACTTTATGACTTTAGACGAGATCGTTTCCTGATACGATGCTGTTTTTAGATATGTTTCTCGAGGTAATCGTAAAGCTAGGCAATGTTCGATGTTTCGATTAATCATTGCCGTTTTCTACGATTGACTCGGGGTTTTATTAAAAACATGTTTTGTATGATTTCTCACGAAAAATCTCGAGCAAATCGTATAGTTAGGAAATGCTCGTTGTTTAGTTTAACCGTTACCGTTTTATACGATTTTCTCGAGTTCTTTTAAGAAAACAAGACTTTTACGGTTTTTACCGTAAAACTCGAATGATAGAATAGATTGAGACGAAACGAGAGACATTTCAACCGTGGTTTTGAACACGATCGTGCCGAAGGACGTATGCCTTGAATCGAGGACCTGGGAGATCGAGGTTCAGGATGGTCAGCTCGACGCAAGGCGAGCCGAACCGGACCGGTTCAGCTCGCCGTACGGCGAGCTAGTCTTGGTCGAACTAACTCGCCGTACGGCGAGCTAGTTTGAGGCCGCTTAGCTCGCCATTTACGGCGGATGCGGTTTTTCGTGGTTTTGTGCGTAACTCGGATGATCATGTAATCGACGTTTGTTTCGTTCTTCCGAGATAACGACTTCCAAGTTTTCCGCGGATTTCCTTTGTTTGGAAACCTCTTTTAATAAAACGATTTCTCGTGTTTTATAAAGTGACCTCTCGAGTTTTATAAAATGATTTCTCGAGTTTTATAAAACGACTTCTCGAGTTTTTATAAAACGACTTCTCGGGTTTTATAAAACAACTTCTCGTGTTTTATAAAACGTATTTTTATTTTTCCGGAGACTTTTTAGCCATTGATTCCGTCGTGGCCGATTTTGACACCAAGAGTAGACTGATTTATCTTCTACATACTCGGCTAGAGTTGTGTTACGCAGTACATATCCTTTCAACATTTATGAAGCATCCGAAAGAGGCTCATTGGCTTGCTGCACTCCGTGTTGTGCTGTTTCTAAAAGGAACTTTAGGTCTGGGAATTTTTCTGCAATCTGATCCTGATCTCACACTCTCGGTCTACTGTGATGCAGATTGGTCATCTTGTCCTCTTACCCGAAGATCACTCAGCACCTTCGTAGTTATGCTTGGTGGATCACCTATTGCGTCGAAGACTAAGAAGCAGCGAACTGTATTGCATTCATCTGCGGAAGCAGAGTATAGGTCTATGGCGACAGCATTACGAGAAACGAAATGGATTCGCAAGCTTTTAAAAGAATTGGGTCTTGAACAGTTTACTCCTACTCGGTTTTTCTGTCATAGTAAGGCTGCAATTCACATAGCTTCTAACTCAGTCTTTCATGAAAGAACAAAACATATTGAGAATGATTGTCACTCTGTGAGAGATGCAGTTCGCGAGAGGATCATCGTTACTCAACATATCCGCACGGACTCACAGATCGCGGATATATTGACAAAAGCACTTGGTCGGGTTCCATTTCAAAAGTTAGTCTTCAAGTTGGGCATTCAAGATCCTTCTTCTCCAACTTGAGGGGGAGTATTGGAGATATTTCCATATATTTGTTTGTATATTTTCCTATATGTGATAAGGATTGTTTCCTTATACGACAAGGCAATATGTTATGCCGCCTTTGTCTTTGTATATGTATGCATCGTGTGATATCAATAAGATCAAGTCAGTTGTTTATCAAAATCTACATCTTCCCAACATGCTATCCACCTAAATATTTTTCCTCAGCAATCATCAGGAGGAGAAAGTACATAAAATCTTGCCTCCAAATGAGATGTGAAATCTTGAATCAGGTTCTCGATGTCCATTAAATCTTTTTGCCTCCTCTCTCCTTTTCTTCTCCAAACTCCGGCTCAGGTTCATACTTTGTTTTGTGTTTCTTCTCTACTCAGGCTCCTTCCTTGGAGGATCATCTTATTCTCCTGATCCACCGCTGTTTCACCTGCCTGAGTCCCGAGATTAACATTCATCAAATCTGTATGTACCATCAGAACCAAGCCCGCACGCGCTGTAGCTATCTTGGCATTGCCAAGTAAACACACGTTAATTACTTTATAGATCATTAAGAGACAATTTTGAAAGCAATGATTCACCTGAGACATAAGCTCTCCAAGATCAATGACCTGTTCTTCTAAAGAAGTTGCTGTCAACATTGCTTTGAAAGCCTAAGAAAGAGATCAGATTCATCATAAATACAAAACATATCATTTCTTCTTCAACAATAACAAAAATATTTTGATTATATATTAACAGTAAGATTAAACACACCTGGACACAGAAGTTCTCATAAATTGGATGTTTAGTAGGCGCCATTATGTGGTAAGTACCTTTCATGTCGATGGTTGTGACAAAATCACCATGATCACCACATTTTTCCATGAACTCTTCTCCAATGATAACCTGTGTGAGCTTACTTGCGTATACATCTTGAAATCTACAACAACAAAAAAAAAACAAAAACAGAGATGAAAGTTAGACAGAAATGATATGGATAAGCAAAAAACAAAGCCCATGGACTGAAAAAACCAAAGAGGGCTTGTAATTCTTTCCGAAAACTAAAGAGGCCTTGTTGGTCTGTGTTTGAGGTGAAAATGGTTAAGAACAATATAAAGAGAGAGATGGGGAGAACAAAGACGTTCTTTATTAGATCTGAACAAGAGATTACAAGGAGGGTAAGTAAAGAGGCAAACTAGCCGGAGCTCGGAGAGCAGACCGGAGGACTACAAAGTGGTGAGTATCGGTGAAGGTAAGCAAACCCTAGATCTAACCACTTAGTCTCTATGAAACCCTAGATCTAGCCACCTAGTGAGTATGTCGAAAATGTGGATCCCCTTTCTCGTTGTTGCCTCTCTCCTTTTATAGACCTTATCTTCATGTTCGCCCTAGTTTACCCGAGCCTTGTTGGGCTTTATTCTCGTTGGGCCCGTTTAGTAGCCCGGGTAAAGCGTGCTTCTGCTGACTCTTCCGGAGCGCTCTTAGTCGTGCTACAAGACGCGTCCCCATGCCGAGGCGTTTCTTACGCGTCTAATGGGCCGAGTACATCGTCACATCGGGCTAAGCTTCTCCATTTGATGGGCCTTGTGGAGGGGTGTAACCCATCTCCTACAATAAGTCCCCCCAGTTCACTTGTGAGTTCGTAGGACTCTAAGTGAATTTGTGGGTCAGGTTTGATCAAATGGGAAATCTAGCATGTGATGCGCATTTAGGCGTCATCATGAGCGAGTCTAGTAGCTCGGCTAGGACGTCGTTTGCTAGAGCGTGTTTAGCGGTCACCTTGAGCGAGTCTAGTAGCGCGGCTAGGACGTCGTCTGCTAGAGCGTGTTTAGCGGTCACCTTGAGCGAGTCTAGTAGTGCGGCTATGACGTCGTCTGCTAGAGCGTGTTTAGCAGTAACCTTGAGCGAGTCTATTAGCGTGGCTAGGACGTCGTCTGCTAGAGCGTCTTTAGCAGTCGCCTTGAGCGGATCTAGTAGCGCGGCTAGGACGTCGTCTGCTAGAGCATGTTTAGCAGTCACCTTGAGCGGATCTAGTAGCACGGCTAGGACGTTGTCTGCTAAAGCGCGTTTAGCAGGCACCATGAGCGAATCTAGTAGCTCGGCTACAACGTCGATTGACCGATTAAGATACACGTTTAGCGGGCACCATGAGCGGATCTAGTAGCTCGGCTAGGACGTTTGCTAGGAACGCGTTTAGCAGGCACCATGAGCGGATCTAGTAGCTCGGCTAGAACTTCGTCTGCTAAGGACACGTTTAGCAGGCACCATGAGAGGATCTAGTAGCGCGGCTAGAACGTCGTCTGATTGACGCTTAAGATACGCTTTTAGCAGCCATCATGAGCGAGTCTAGTAGCGCGGCTAGAACGTCGTCTGATTGATGCTTAAGATACGCGTTTAGCAGGCATCATGAGCGAGTCTAGTAGCGCGGCTAGAACGTCACCTGATTGATGCTTAAGATACGCGTTTAGCAGGCACCATGAGCAGATCTAGTAGCCCGGCTAGAACGTCTGAGAACGCGTTTAGCAGGCACCATGAGCGAATCTAGTAGCTCGGCTAGAACGTCGTCTGCTGGGAACGCGTTTAGCAGGCACCATGAGCGGATCTAGTAGCTCGGCTAGAACGTCTGGGAACGACTGCGGGATTCGCGCAGCCAGGAGGTCACTCGCGAGAGGGTGCGTGTTGAGGCAGCAATGACCAACAAGCTTAGCCGCTGCATCGATCGTGTCCGGGCTTATCTTAAGAAGCGTAGTCTCTCTCGCGGGAGCAGAGTTTGCTTGAGCAGGCTTCCGGGATGAGGAAATGTCTCGAGAGGATCAAGGAGGAGAAGTCTTTCCCCGCTTGTTCTCCCTTCTAGGTTCGTGAATGAAGACTCGTGGCTATGCCTGACCCGTATGGTCAAACGATGATCTAGTTAGGTCGGAAACGGCCTCGCAGCTCCGGATGCCCTGCGATGTCCTCGGGGCGAGTCGACTGGTAAGTCGCGTGAGAATCCAGTCGACGCTGCTCCGTCTTGTAAGGAGTCAGGTCCAAACCTTGGTGAAGAGACTGTTGAGAAGAATGATATCACGGTTCGTGAAGGTCGTCCGAAGGACGTTGACTCAGCGAAGTCTGTCGAGGTGTCTGATTCTTCTTCCGAGAGAGAGGAGGAGAATGACAGGGTAGAAAAGTCTCCATCCCCTCTCCTTGTTAGGACAGGAGAGCCGTTAAAGGAGCAAGAGGAGTCGGACCTTGCTGGGAGAGAAGTAGGCGCTTCCGGCTGATGCGCCGGAGAGTCTTATCACCACGGGGGGTGGTGAAGCCGCGAAGGACCCGAAGCCTGATTTGCCTGCTGCTGCCGTCGAAGACCCTTCCGCTTCGCAGGAGTGTACAACAGGAGCATATCAATCCTTGCCTCTGGGTCTTATTCCGGAGGAAGCGATACCCTGTTAGGTATCGTTCATACAAAGAGTTGGTATGTTCTGTTCTGGAGGGAAAGGTTCCAGACCGGCTAATTGATGATTTAACGAGTTTAGTCAGCCAAAACGTTCACACGTTTATTCACATAGCGGTCCGGATTTCGCTCGCGAGTCGGTAAAGGTGACGTACGACTTTTTGGTCCCTCAATCAAGTGTCTGATCAGGACATGATTGATTAGTGGGTGCGAGTATCTGTGTCCTCATCTGCAGACGAGAATATGAATATCGCCTCGGTCGTGTTGGACCGTAACAAAGCGTAGACTTTGGTGTTGTTACAGCTGGACCGGTTAAGGCTGCCTACGTACCTCGAAAGAGGATCAAGCCGTTCGTAATTCGGTTTACCAGAGCAAAAGTGGCTGTTTTGAGGCGCATTTACTCTGGCGAGTAGAAGGGACAGCTAGGGTGCATCTACTTGGGTTTTTTTTTTTTTTTTTTAGGGACGGAAGTGATTTTGATCATCCGTTCCGGATTTAGTCGGCCGAGTAGAATTGACTCTGGGTCATATACTCGGTCGGAAAGGAAAACAGAGGGCTGCCTTACGAATAGTAACGGCGTAGGTGCATGGAGTTCCATGCCCTTGGGACATCTTCCCCGTGCGAGGTTTGAAGTTAGTAGACGCCTAGTTTGATGACCTTGATGATCTTGTATAGTCCTTCCCACCTTGCGCCTAACTTACCAGCGTTAAGCTCCTTGGTGTTCTCAAATACCTAGCGCATGACAAGGTCTCCGAGCTCTAATGCTCGTTGCATGTCGTCGGCTAGATATGCACCGACGCGCACTGTCTTTCTTGGATCGGAATCGTCTATAGGCATCTCAAGAACCTCGTCTGTCTGAGGATAGGTTCAAGCGATCGGGGGAGACACGGAGTTGACGAGGGACGATGATCGTTGCAGCTTGACTGTGGCGATCAGCAGGTCTCGAGTGGCTTGCTGATCTCCGCGTACGGTCTTGATTGTTCCGTCCACCCCAGGGAACTTGATGCATTGGTGGTAGGTAGATGGAACTGCCTGCATCGAATGTATCCATGGGGTTCCGAGAATGACGTGGTAAGGGGCTTTGGTGTTTACCACAGCGAACTTAACCGTCCGAGTAACTCCGCATGCACGGACTGGGAGACGGATCATTCCAAGGACAGTTTCTGATGAGCCGTTGAAGCCGGTCAAAGTTCGTGAGGACGATTTGACGTCGTCGAAATCGACCCCCATCTTTTCAAGCGTATCACGAAAGATGAGATCAACGGAGCTTCCTGTGTCGATGAGTACTTTGGTTACATCGTACTTACCAATCTCGAGGACGACTAGCAGAGGATCGTTGTGGGGCATATGGACTCCGTTCAAATCGTCGGGGGAAAAGCTGATTGGCGTGTGGCTCGGTGGCTTTGCAGGCCAACGTCTCGAGGACGCGGCTTGGCGCCGGTAGTCTTTTACGGAGTGGACAGAGTCGCCACAAGGAGTTGAACCACCCATGATGACGTTCAGCCGTGGTTGCGTGGTAACTCGTTTGATGTCTAAGAATATACGAAGATCCGCAGGGACATTCTTGTCGCCCGGATTTGATGGTTCCATGCTATGGGACGAAGTTGACCGCTCTAGCCGTTGATTTATCGATTTGGAACGGTTTAGCCGCACATGTAAATCGGTCAGGTTGGCATTAAGTTTGTCACGTAGGTCGGTGACGGGCTTGTCGACCGAGGAGGGAGGCTATGCGGTTTCCAGACGCTGCGACTTGTTGGCTTGGAGCTTGAGGCGGAGATCGGTGTTGTTGACGTCACTGCATGTCGTCACCTTTCGCTTGAGGAAGCTCCGCAAGTCGCTTGACACTAACGAGTGATCGTCCTCGTCGTCAGACGACAAAGGTTACTGAGATCGTATTACTTCAATACGTTGACGACTTGCCGGTTCCTCCTCGTCTGCTGAAGAAGCTTCGTGGTCCACATCATTCGAAGGTTTGTCGTCTGCACAACGTTGCTCTCCGCTTTTACAACCAGACTTTCGCTGTGCGCGTTTGTCCTTGTTCTTAGACCAACTCTTGCCGGATTTTGGTTTTGGCTTTGGAGGCTGAACCTTGAAGTCACCTTTTTCAACCGATGAGAGAAATTCAGCTTACATCTTCCTACACTCGGTAGTGCCGTGTCCTTTGACGTCATGGTACTTACAGTGTTTGGTGAGGTCGACTCCTTTAGAAGATCCGGCCCCTGAGGTAGCCGGCGACGCGGGTTTAGCCGGTCCGGCAGGACTAGCCAAATCTTTCAGGGCTGCCGTCTCTCGGTTGTACACGTTCCATGGCTCGCCGCGTACTGAGAAGCTTGCGACTGGTGTGTAGTTCTCGTCAACGACAAACAGAAGCCCGCTCTTTTGTTGTGTCTTGTCGCCGGAAGCGTGTTGACGCGGCTCTAGCTTTGCGTCGGCGGTCTTGGTCGTTGTAGGCTTTGCTGCGTTATGTTTGCCCATGATGGCTTTCGTGTCTTCCTCCATGCGGATGAAGTTGTGCGAACGAGCAATGGCGTCCTGGAGCGTCGTGGAGGTGCTCTGGTATAGGTTCTCTCGGAACTTGGAATCGAGATG